AGCCAAACTATCATTATTAGCCAGTCATCTACATATGTAGCTGCACCTGATGGAACTTATTTTGCTTGCTCTCAGGGACTCACCACCTTTTTTCCATCTTTCAGTTTCTAGAGAGTAAAGATTATTGCGTTTTGGTACAGCTTTTGCCCCGCCTAACAGCACAGGCCCCGGAGGAGCTGCTCCCTAACTGGGAGGAGAGGCCCTGTCACAAGAGAGTTTGAGAACCAAAATGGATGGTTCTCAGATTTGCTACAGGGATCCCCCTAGTTGTCTACTTTACTCCCAACTATTATAGCCCCCTTAATTGTTTTCCTAAGCAGAGTCAGGATTAGATGTTCAAAGCAATCCTCAATTACACAGCATGTGGCAAACCAAGAGCTACAGGAGACATTGCTCTTAATAAAAATAATTAACAGTACCTGAGAAAAATGAAAAAAATTATTAGTCACATATTGGATAATAAAAACAAATACGAGCCTGGAGCAGAGACACCAAAATTTACTCAAAATTTACAAAGTGAAACTGTCGAGGGCCAAAAGGGGCCTCATACTGAGTCAAGAGTTAATCATTGTTAGCTGACCGAGTCAGGATTAGATGTTCAAAGCAATCCTCAATTACACAGCATGTGGCAAACCAAGAGCTACAGGAGACATTGCTCTTAATAAAAATAATTAACAGTACCTGAGAAAAATGAAAAAAATTATTAGTCACATATTGGATAATAAAAACAAATACGAGCCTGGAGCAGAGACACATTTAATGAGATAAAATTTACAAAGTGAAACTGTCGAGGGCCAAAAGGGGCCTCATACTGAGTCAAGAGTTAATCATTGTTAGATGACCAGAATCGCTGCGACTACAAGATGTTTTTTCCGGATAAGCTGCACAATACATGTTGCAAAATGTTCTCCCTTTTCTCAGAAATAGCTGCGGTTCAGACACAATGGGACCATGGGCTAAGATTTACCTTGCCTCTATTTCCTCTTGAAAATTTTCCATTCCTCCTGCTCCCTTACCCCACCCTGAGTAAAAATCCCCTGCATATAAGCAAGCTTTACCTTTCAATAAACGAGACCTTGACATTGCACAGACGGACTCTTGTCCTTTCTTGCGCCGCTTGGTCTCCATTCCTTTCTCGCCCTCATGACCCCTTTAGGTGACAACCCCCTCGAGACCCTCAAATAACCTGGCCTGCTGGACGGGTCATGAAACTAATAATTGACTTTTAAGAAAGTTAGATATATGTGAAAAAATCACACAGCCATCCTGACTTTGACAAAGAGCAAACCATTCCCAGGAGAAGAAAACTGCATCAACAAGATACTGACTCATCTCGCCCCATATGCAGTGGTAACTGCTGACACATGAAATGGGGCACACAGCTGCAGCCAACCGCCTGTTTGTCAAACCTCTGAGCTGACAGAACTGGGACAAACAAGGTTGAACATATCGCCATAGGAGACTTCCCTAATTGGAAAGTTAACGTTGTGTGGCACAAGCTAAAGTTTGCAAAGTATATATCCACCAATGTGGTCAGTTTTGATTCACATGACATGAATTAATATATGCTGGGAAACTGGACAATCACTCCCCTGAGCCACAATCAGGTCGTTTTTCATAATGGTGACTCCAGCCTAACATGGTCAAAAAATATAACAGTATATACTTTTCAGGCGGGTGGTGGTGGTGCACAGCCTTTAATCCCAGCACTCGGGAGGTAGAGGCAGGTGGGTCTCTGTGAGTTCAAGGCCAGCCTGGTCACCAAACAGAGTTCCAGGACAGTCTGCAAAACCTACAGAGGAACTCTGTCTCAAAAACCAAAAAGGCAAAAAGACTATACAATTTTCATCAACATATATGATTCATTACTTAATTTGTCCTATTTTCCTCCATCCTTAGATGACAATATTTTTACAATATAAAAAGAAACCAATATTTTACTGATATAATATTTCACCTAATCTTATTTGAGCATTAATGAGACAGCTCAATATGAAGATGGCCAAAAGAAGATGCCTCAAAATAGTCTACCACAGTCCACATATCTGCCATGGCCTACAAACCCATAATCACATTATGGAAACACACAACACAATGTTTTTGCTTTTCTAAAATAAATTTCATGGCCATTAAATTATCTGGCATCTGAAGACAATTCACAGGGAAGGCTGTATTTCAGGATTAAGAACCAAGGGGACAACTAAGGGGAACAAGAAGAATATTGGAACACAAAATGATATTCACATATCTATAGCTCATCATGCTATGCTATGAGATGTAGAGTTGATTACTTATTATGCTATCTTCTAACATCTCTACAATATAGATGAAAATCAGCATTTGGATACACACTTGAGGTATTTGATGATGCTCTCCTCTATTAAGCATTTTAACATATAATGTTAAAACATTTGACAAAACAGCACAAATGGGGGTACAACTTCTATCCTTGGACTTTTACTCAGGAGACCAAACATGAGATTCAGGAGTTCAGTAGGAGCCCTGTGTAATCACTGACATACAAGTCAGGCTGGATAACAATCAACAACTCAAGCAAATGCTGAAAATAGGAAAAAAACCATGAACAACAACACACTTCCACAGACACCCTTACCTGAAAAGAATGATCGCATAATGCGTGAATTGTGATTTCTAAGATCAAATCATTTACATGAATAAGCTTTTAAAAAACCATGTATGAGCTCTTTCCAATCGCCTCACATCAATACAATATATCACATCAACACGATATATAAAGGTTTTAATATGTGAATTTTTCTTTTTTTAATTTAAATTAGAAACAAGCTTTATTTACATGTCAATCTCGGTTCCCTTTCTCTCCCTGCCCCCCAACTTACCCCCTATCCCAACCCCTTTCTGCTCCTCAGGGAGGGTGAGGACTTCCATGGGGGAATCTTCCAAGTCTGTATATTATTTGGAGCAGAGCCTAGACTCTCCCCAGTGTGTCTAGGCTCAGAGAATATCCCTCTATCTGGAGAGGGCTCCCAAAGTTCTAGGGGTAAATACTGATCCACTGGTAAATACCAGTGGCCCTGTAGATTGTCCAGATATCCAAACTGACTTCTTCCTTCAGGATATGCTGGCTTCCTAGCTATCAGTCTGGGGTCCATGAGCAATGCCTTGTTCAGGTCAGCTGTTTCTGTGGGTTTCTCCAGCCTAGTCTTCTCTGATCATCAGTCCACCCTGTCTGCAACTGGATTCGAGAGTTCAGCTCAGTGTTGAGCTGTGGGTGTCTGTGTCTGCTTCCATTACCTACTGGATGAAGGCACTAGGACGGCATATAAGGTAGTCATCAATCTCATTATCAGAGAAGGGCATTTAAGGTAGCCTCTCAACTGTTGCTTAGATTGTTAGTTGGGGTCAACCTTGTAGATCTATGGACATTTCCCTAGTGCCAGAATTCTCTTTAAACCTATAGTGGCTCCCTCTATGATGGTATCTCCTTCCTTGCTCTCCTCTATTCTTCCTCTGACAAGATCTTCCTGTTCCTTCATGTCCTCCTCTCCCCTCCTCTTCTCCCCTTCTCTTACTTCAAACTCCCTCTTCCCTCCCCCATGCTCTCCATTAGCTTATGAGATCTTGTCCCTTTCCCCTTCCCTGGGGGAGCATATATGTCTCTTAGAGTCCTCCTCATTTCCTAGATTCTGTGATGGTGTGGATTGTAGGCTGCTACTTCTTACTAGATCTAAAATCCATATATGAGTAAACACCTACCATTTTTATCTTTTGGGGACTGGGTTACCTTACTCAGGATGGTTTCTTCTAGTTCCATCCATTTGCCTGGGAATTTCAAGATTCCATTGTTTTATTCCCACTGAATAGTACTCCATTGTGTAAATGTACCACATTTTCTCTATCCATTCTTCAGTTGAGGGGCATCTAGGCTGCTTCCAGTTTCTGGCTATTACAAATAATGCTGATATGAACATGGTTGAACAGATTTCCTTGTTGTATGAATGTGCATCTTTTGGGTATATGCTTAGGAGTGGAATTGCTGGATCTTGTGGTAGATTGATTCCCATTTTCCTGAGGAATTGCCATACTGATTTCCAAAAAATAAAATAAAATAAAATAAAATAAAGACTTAAATATATTTATAGGGCTTGAGACATGGTCAAGCAGTCAAGACAAGTTCATTTGAGGAACAAAATTGGGTTTTGACAACTTTCTTATTCCTGCAACAGGAGATCTTATGTTCTTGGGATGAAGAATTCCTATATACATGCACTTATCTACATAAAGAGATACTGGAAATCACAAAATAAAAATTCAAACAATTCATTAAGCATATTTTTACTCATGAATATTTTTCTCATGTAAATTTTCATTCCTATAGGAATAAATTCTTTTGTCTTTGATGAGGATGGTGTCACAAAAAGGCTTTATCTCATTGATTATATTTGTAGGGTTTCTCTTTACTATGTGTTTTTTCATGGTTTTGAAGACTACTGTGCTTTGCAAAAGCTTTAAGACATTGATTACATTTGTAGGGTTTCTCTCCAGTATGTGTTCTTTTATGCTGTTGAAAACTATCATTACGTGCAAAGGCTTTATCACATTGATTACATTTGTAAGGTTTCTCTCCAGTATGTATTCGCTCATGTATTCGGAGACCACTCTGTTGTGTAAAGGTTTTACCACATTGATTGCATTCATAAGGTTTCTCTCCTGAATGTCTTCTTTCATGGTACTGAAGATTACTGTGATATGCAAAGGCTTTTTCACAATGGTTACATTTGTAAGGTTTCTCTCCAGTGTGTATTCTTTCATGCATTCGGAGATTACCTTGTTGTGTAAAGGCTTTATCACACTGATTACATTTGTATGGTTTCTCCCCAGTATGTCTTCTTTCATGAGTTTGGAGATTATGGTAATATGCAAAGGTTTTGCCACATTGATTGCATTCATAAGGTTTCTCTCCAGTATGTGTTCTTTCATGTACTCGGAGATGACTCAGTTGTATAAAGGCTTTGTCACATTGATTGCATTGGTAGGATTTCTCTCCAATATGTGTTCTTTTATGCAATTGAAGATAACTGTGCTTTGCAAACCCTTTGCCACACTGAGTACATACATAAGGTTTCTCTCCAGAATGTGTTCTTTTATGGTATTCAAGAGCACCATGATGTGCATAGGCTTTTTCACATTGATTACATTTGTATGGTTTCTCTCCAGTATGTAATTGTTCATGTACTCGGAGATTACTCTGCTGTGTAAAGGCTTTATCACATTGATTACATTTGTATGGTTTCTCTCCGGTATGCGTTCTTTTATGGAGTTTAAGATAATTGTATATTGCAAAGCCTTTACCACACTGAGTACATTTATAAGGTTTCTCTGCAGAATGTGTTCTTTCATGTACTCGAAGGTTACTCTTCTGTGAAAAGGCTTTATCACACTGATTGCATTTGTATGGTTTCTCTCCAGTATGTGTTCTTTTATGGTATTGAAGATTATCATGCCTTGCAAAGGCTTTATCACACTGATTACATTTGAATGGTTTCTCTCCAGTATGTAACTTTTCATGCACTCGAAGTTTACTCTGTTGTGTAAAGGCTTTATCACATTGATTACATTTGTATGGCTTCTCTCCAGTATGTGATCTTTTATGTTGTTGAAGACTACTGTGGTGTCCAAAACCTTTGTCACATTGATTACATTTATAAGGTTTCACTCCAGTATATGTTCTTTCATGCAGTTGGAGACAACTTTGATTTGCAAAGACTTTACCACATTGAATATACTCAAAAGTTTTCTCTCCAGTGTTTATTCTATCTTGTATTTGTAGATAACTCTGATGTTCAAAGGCTTTATCACACTGAGTATACTGAGAAGATTCTTCTTCATTATTAATTTTATTGTTCCTATGAAGATAATTGTTACATGTAAATGCTTTACCATGTTTATTACACTGACGAATCATTTTTACCATATGAATTCATTTTACAATTTGGTCTGATTATCAAGAGGAATCATAAGATTTTCACTTTGTTTGCATCCACAGTGTTCCCCTTCATTTTTTTTTTTTTGCACCTTTAAAAATACCTGTTTTAGGCCAGGCATTGGTGGTGCACACCTTTAATCCCAGCACTTGGAAGGCAGAGGCCAGCCCATCTCTGTGATTTCCAGGCCAGCCTGGTCTACAGACAGAGTGCCTGGATAGGCTCCAAAGCTACACAGAGAAACCCTGTCTCAAAAAACCAAAAAACAAACAAACAAAAAAACCAAACAAACCTATGTTAGTAGGGGCATTTATTAACACAGTTCACTGTGGTATTTGAATAGCTATGGCCCAAATAGACTCATAAGTTGGAAGGGTTGGCCCATAGGTAGTGGCACTATGAGAATATGTGGGTTTGGTTGTGTAGGTGTAACATTGATAGATACACTATGTCACTGTAGTGGTGGGCTTTGAATTTTTATATGCTCAACTATGTCCAGGGTGTCACACAGTCTCTTTCTACTGGCTGCAGACAAAGATGCCTAACACATGGCCCTCTTCAGCACCATTTATGCCTCCATGCCACCATGTTTCCTGTCATAACGATGAACTAAATCTCTGAAACTCTAAGCCAGCTCCAATTCAATGCTTTCATTTATAAGAGTTGGGGGGGTCATACTGTCTCTTTACAGAAAGAGAAACACTAAATAAGACACTCACACATATAGCATTCCTTTTCTATATGAGGCTTTCAGATATTTGAAGAGAACATGAAGAACTCAAAGTTTACCACACTAAGTGCATTCATGAATTTTTCTATACTGAGTCATACTACATTTGCAAACTGAACCAAAGCAGAATAAACAAAAGAATATCCACATTCCTAATAATCACAGAGATTTTCTGCAATGTGAATTTGTTGATATGTTCTAAATGAAGTTGAAAAACCAATTAATCATGAAGATAAATAACATTTAGAAAGTATACTCAAAGTGGAGACATTTTCTACTTGATCATATTTCTATGCTGCAATGGATTGTATACATTGTATCATACAATATACCTAGCAAAGGAAAAGTTTCCACATCAGATTGACACAGTTTGACTTTTTGCTTCTCATAGACATATGGTATATGGATTAAATTTTCTCTAGAAAAACATTTTTGATTCTAAAAATCTGCCCATATAAAAAATTAGCAAAGTCAGTAAGAACAACACGAGCTTTAGTCTTAACTATTTGCTTACTAGAAAAACTTGAACATAAACTATCTAGTTTACATGTATACATTTCCAAACATCTGTGTATTATGAAATTATACATATAGAAGTTCTATGGCATACCACGCAAAGGGCTGTGATTCAAATGGTGATATCAGGTAAAGCATTGCTTAACTATTGCTTCTCTTTAGAACTTCCAGGGCACATTTAAATTTATTCAGAGTTATATTATACAAGGCTGAACAAGAAAATTACCTTCCTTGTTGTGTAGATATCTGATCAGGTTCTTCAACATTATTGTCTTCACAATTGTAAGCTAAAACATATATACCAGAAAATGTATGAAACATTTCAGAAATCATGCAAAATTAAAACTATTACCATAAGTGAACCTTAGAACCATGATTTATTTATTAAAGTCATTCTTTCACTTTCTCAATCAAAATTACAAAACACAATGAATTACCAAGATGCAGTTGTCCTCCTTTTAAAAAGTAAAGGGAAATTCATAGTCCTACCTGTATCAATGAGGTTCTTGTAGGTATCAAGCATTACTTCTTTGTAGAGATTCTTCTGGGAAGGATCCAGCAAAGCCCACTCGTCCCAAGTGAAATTTACATGTACATCATCATAGGTCACTGCATTCTAAAATATCCCATATATATGTATATTCAACAGAAAGAAAGATACTGACAATATTGTGCATGTATACTTCTTCAAAAATATACTCATATAATTCTGAGGTGTCTCACACTTATTCATGACAGATGTTCCAATGTAATCACCATGTCATTTTAGAAGGAAACTGAAAACTGAGACTCACCACTGTCATTTCTTCATATTTTGAATAAGATATAGCCTTGCAAGAGAAATATCTATTAACAGACATAAAGAGAGTGACAAGCAAACAGAAAAAGACTACTGATCACACATTAGAGACATCACATGAACAATTACTAACTAGAAAAAAGATAGGTGAGGTGGTTTCTTTGGCTCATGCCTTTAATCCCAGCACTCAGGAGGCCCAGGCAGGTGTATTTCTTCTTTAGAACAATCTTCTTGTACACTATGACTATGTATTAGTCTCATTGGGTAATAAGGAGCTCACTGGCTTATAACTGAATAGGAGTAGTTTAGGAGCAAAACTAGACTAAGAGCATGCTGGGAGGAAGGAGGGCAGAGTCACAGCCAGAGGAGAGGCACCAGACACAAAGAAAAGCAAGATGGACCTACTGTACTGAGAAAAGTTACCAAGCCATATGGCAAAGCATAGATAAGAACTGTGGTTTATATAAATAAAAGAGTTAGTTAGTAACAAGTCAGAGTTTTAAGTTAAGCATTTATAAGTAGTATTAAAATTCTGTGTTAATTATTTAGGAGTGGGCTGTAGGGATAGGAAGCTTTTACAACTACAAATTACATTCCAACAGATTGGAATTTCCACATAAGACCTAACAAAGTTAGTTTTTAAAAGGTTATGAATTCACAGAAACATTGTGAAACTAGATTTGCTAATCTCATGTTTCTCATGCCAGCCACAGTACTGAGTCCTAATTCCCAGCATCTGCCTGTGAAAGAGCCAGGCACCAGGTACCTTACACTACAGCCATGCAGTAAGCTAAGCTATACAGGCTACAGCTGACATAGCAGTTTAAAATTGGTCTCATTGGACCCAAAAGAGTTTACAGAAATGCTGTGGAGACAAAAAACCCTCTACACAGAGTACAGTATGTATAAAAATATACATAGGCTTGTGAGAGAAAAGAGAAGGTACAGACAGTCAAAAAAATGTAGTTTAAAATAACAAAATCCTTAATAAGGAGGCAAGTAATATAAAAGAAAAAAAAACACCAAAAGAAGGGAAAAACATGGAGAGTCTGGGTCCTATATGTTATTGCATTCTGTTTAAATTCTTTGGCTACTAAGAGACACTGGATTATGAAAGCCAATAGAATGAACCAACCTATATATTTTAGAAATATCCTGAATTCAAAACTTAAGCTAAATGGATACTGCTTTGGGGGAGAAGTTATGCTTTTAAATCCACAGGAGACAAGAAAGAATGTATTCATTCCTGGTTAAAAAAAATCAGGTTTTATCAGGAAAACCCCTGAAATCCTGGCTACAACATAAAAAAGAAACCTATAAAACTAAAACTTATATAATGCCTATTTTATTTGCTCAAGTATGAAGCAAAAATCATCTTTAACTGACTTGTGCACACCACATATTCCATACTTGCAAAATATAGTACTGTTAAGTTTACCTGTTTTCAGAACAAGCAGAAACACCAATTAAAATGGATGGCCCAGATTATCTAATATCTCAGAATGCCTCTGTTGCTGTTTGTGAGTTCTTTTTTTTTTTCCTCCGAGGTAGGGTTTCTCTATGTAATTTTGGAGATTGTCCAGGAACTAGCTCTTCTGGATCAGGCTGGTCTAGAACTCACAGAGCTCCACTTACCTCTGCCTCCTGAGTGCTGGGATTAAAGGCTTGCAACACCACCACCGGGCCATTGTGAGTTCTACTTCCAAAACAGTTTCAAGGCTGCTTGCTAAGAGTATCCAGACTCAAAATACTCCAGTGAAAATCTAACACTTATCCTGAATTTTTTCAAGGTTTCCTCAAAGATGTCAGTACCCCCAAATAATAGGAAGTAGCCTGGAGAATGATGCCCACTTTCCCCCCAAAATAGTGTATGAATGCTTATTATCATTTAAGGTAGGTTGGTTACAAGTTGTTATTTGTAATTGTCATGAAAAAGCTAAAAAAAAAAAAAGGGTCGGGTGATTAAATTCATGGATTTCTTCTACAGGAAAAAAATGGGATAATTTATGAAAATGATGAAATAAAATGGTAGATTATTGAAACTATTTTAATCCAAAAAACACCTACTAACCTTAATTTTTTAAATAGGTAAGGAATTTTCTATATTGCTACAAAATTCATGTTGTTTTTCTTATACTGTATTTACATTACTATTTTTGAAGTTATTTTTGTGTATTGATACCAATTTAAGGTTGTTATCCTTACACAGAAGATCTGTTTCTATTTTTGATTAAGGTATTACCTATACAGTATGTAACTTATACAGCTTGTTTAGTTATACAATATGAAGTTTTAGTCCTTAAAAGCTGTTATGATAATAAAGAAATACATGCTAATAATCACCAATAACTATCAAACTTATACTGTTGTTTTTTTTTAAAAATAGAGAGATAGATTCAAAATAGATAGGTAATATTCAAACCCATCAGAGACATATATGACATTTAAAATGATATAATAACTTATACTTTGCTCTACATGAAACATGTCTGCTCCTGGTGGCAGCAATCTACTTCAAAAGAGGAAGGTGGCCATTGATGAAACTCCCTATTTAGTTCTCTTTCTTTCTCCCTTCCTTCCTTCCTTCCTTCCTTCCTTCCTTCAATTCTTTCTTTTTCTTATATATATATATATTTTTTGAGACAGGGTTTGTCTTTACCTTTGGAACCTGTCCTGAAATTTGCTCTGTAGACCAGGATGGATATGAACTCATGGATGTCCACATGTTTCTTGCTCCCAAGTACTGGGATTAAAGGTGTATTCCACCACTGCCCAGATAGTTCTCTTTCTTAATAGAAAATCTAGCCATTTTGACAAGAAACTGCACTTGTCTCAACTGCTAACAGTCTGATGTCCAAACCAGACAATCAGGACACAAAGAAAGGCAACTGTTGAACCTTTCTAAGACAGGGTAGGGCAGTCCTTCAGAAGTTCCTGCTTCTAAAAAAAGCCTATAATATATTTTAGTAGGTAATATATTTAGTAGGTCAAAGTTAGAACCTTAACATGAAAGAACAACCTAGGGTGACTCTCCAAACAGCCAGATGGCCCTGTCAGTAGGTAACATTTCAGCCTCCTGGAGTCTTTGTTGGACCCAGATCATTATAGTTTTCCTTAGTTATGATAGAAAGTAAAATAGGTACAACACTTTGGACTTCCAAATACAAAGAAATTAGATATTGTAAATGTAACTCTTAATTAATAACTGCTTTTGTTATATATGGTTTTACTATGTTAAATGCAAAGTCTTCCTTTTACTTAGACAAGGACAGAGTGCTGTGGAAGAGTCTTTTTGTACACTATGAATATGTATATATCTCATAAGTTTGCAAAACCCTTAGTGGCCTGAAGGTGAACAGGATGAGATTAAGTAGGAAAAACAGACTAAGAGGATTTTGGTGGGAAGAAGGCAGAGTTGCAGTCAGAGTAGTGCCACCAGAGATACACAAAGAAGGATGATGAACATGCCATACCGAGAGAAATTACCAAGCTACATGGCAAAGCATAGATCAGAAATATGGGTTCATTTAAATGTAAGAGTTGGCTAGTAACAAGTCTGAACTATTGTCAGAGTATTTATAAATCATATAGAGATTCCCTGTTGGTTATATAGGAGTGGGCAATTGGGATAGGAAAACCCCACCTACATATCTCATTGACTTGGATGCCAAAATGGTCTATGAAAGGAGTTCTAGGACTATAAGAGATAAATATTAAAACCCTGCCTACCATGCAAATGTCAATTAAACAAAAAAGAGAGAAAGAACTCAAGAGATGTTTACTGAAGTTCCTACACAGGTTATGAATTCACCCTAGTTCTCTATTCATCTACTAGAAACATGAAATGTCCCAGTGTAAAGTGTAACATTAGTAAGATGTCTGCTAAAAGGGAATGAGTATTTGAAAAAGTGCAAAGAAACAGATGAATATAATAGAAATGAAAATGGTGACCCTAAATTAACAGCGAAGTACAGGAGAAATAGCTCAGTAGTTAAGAGCTCTTACTGATCTTACTGTTAGGTGGCTCAATTAAAAGTACTCACAGGGGTGCTTGCTATCCATTTCTCCAAGGTCAGGAGTTTTGAGCCCATCTTCTGACTACTGTGGGGATCAGGCATACATGTGGTGCATCTCCATGCATTCAGACAAAATTCTCATTTATTCAAAAATTTCAAATCAAACACAAAAGATAGGGAGAAAGTCACCCATCTGCACTCCAATGACTCTGAAGGCCCAGCTACTAATACTGTCATAAATACATGCCATTTTGAGAAATAGAATGATACCCTTTGCCAAATTTCTAAATTCAAGATGGGCGAGGCTCTGTACAAAACCCTACTTTATAGGCCCATAATATAAAAACAAAAAAATCCAAACATGTTGGCTTTACCTTTAATACCAGACCTTAGAGCCACAGTCAGGAGTATCTCTGAGTTGAGGGCAGCCTAATTTACAAAGCTACTTTCAGGACAGCCAGTTCTACTCTGAGAAAACTTGGCTTCAAAAAACATACCAAAAAACCCCATTAGATTATCAAAATGTCTTTCAATTGAATAGGAATTATTTCTTTTGTATCTTATGTGACTTAGGGTTAGAATCTATAGTGGTCGTAAAAGGTATGAGAGCATGTGGAGAATGCTGGCTCATCAGTTTCAAGTACAAAGAAATGGAAATAGTTTGAAGCTAGCCAGACCACAATCCCATCTTCAATGAGGATTTTCATTCAGAAAGTCTCCTCCTACTAAAGTTTTTATAAGCATCCTGAAGAAACCACTGTGGAAAGATAAGTATTCAAAGACATAATCCACTCTGGGAGCTTTTCATTCAACCAACTACACTCTGACCCTGGTCAATCGAGTGTCATGGTCATTGCTGAGGAATTCAGTTGATGGGGATGTCCTTCAGTATATATGTTTCTGTTTCTGTTATTGTATGATGAATTGTATGAAACACTGATTGTCCAGGCAGAAAGATAGTCAGGCCTAAGAGAAGAGGCAAATGCTGGGGAGAGAGGTAAAGTAGACTTGCCAATAACATAGATGGTCCC